CAGTTTCCCGTTCATTTCACTAGGGCCTGCGTAGGAGAAATTAGTTTCTTTCGCGTAGGAGAGGCCCCCTTTCCAGCACAAGCAGCGGGAACTTTTGTATTTGCTCAGATAGGCCTCTATTCAAATGCAGATGGGGGTTATCGCACACCAACCTGCAATTTCCTTTATTCTGTGAACAAAACGTTTTCCTCCTCCCGCTATTCATGAAAAGGATTGTGATTTTTAAAAGGGCACCCGTATGGCCCTTGCAAATGGCAAACAGGGTTGAATCTCCCCCCCCCTTCCTCCAACCTGCTCAGACGGCTTCACCTTAATAACTGTATAAACAGGAAAACAACGAAAGGCCGTATTGGCCTGTTCACACCCACCCCCGCCTCATTGTTTATTCCAGACCCCGTGCATTCGTCTGGTTCCTCTCCAAGTCAAGTGTATGTACATAGTTTTGTCTTTGTATAGGAGTGGATGTGGTGACAGTCAAGCCTGTGCTCTTCCAGTATTGTAATTTAACAGATGATGGCTGTATGAGGACAAAAAAAAGAATCCAGAACAAAATGTAAATACCTAGAGGAAACTAAAACTGGATCCCTGTGTCTTAGGGTTTTGTACATATTGAAACTGCATGGTATTTAAATTGTCTCCGATGTATGCAGTTTCTTAAAAAAAAAAAAAATTCATTTTAAAAGAAAAAGGCCCTGTTCTCTTGTTTTCTTTCTGACTCCATCTTGTGTTTGTTTATTCCTAAATGCTGTAGTGTAAAGGATGAGGTGCCGGCAAATGGCATCCAGTCCTAGACGGCAACGATGCCCTCCGGCTAAAAGTTCCAGAGGCAAATGGCATCCAGTCCTAGACGGCAACAATGCCCTCCGGCTACAAGTTCCAGATCTTTTCTAGCATCCTGTCGAACGGGCTCCTGTCATGTCGCTGGAAGGACAGATCATGTGAAGGTGGCAGCGCTGGGTCAAAAATGCAATGGGGATCTTTTTGGTTTTGCACATTTGTCGAGGATACAGAGGATGGCCTGGGCTGGCCTGATTTTGTCAGACCTCAGATGCTAAGCAAGGTTGGCTTGGATTAGTACTTGGACGGGAGACCACCATGTTACCAAAGGGGGCAGTTTCCTTTCGACTGGGGGAATTAGCAAAGGAGACAGAGCTTTGCAAGAGGAGGGTAACTAGCGAGATCTCGACCAATGTTTATGGGGATTTCTTCCTTAGAGAACTCTCAAAATAAACCAGTCCAAATTAAATAAGGATTTTAATTAAAAAGAAATAAAAGAGCAAAACGTACAAAAGAGCACAGCGGGAAACTCATGTACAAAGCTAACAAAGATAAAATAGAATAGTGAGGATAAAGATTGGGAGATGGGTGATATTTACCCTACTATCTAGAAGACAAAGTCCGAAGAAGAACAAAGACGAAACGTCCAGCGTCTCGAGTGTGAGGTTTGGATCCAGGAAAAAACACACACACACACACTGCATGGGGCAGAATGTGCCATTTTTATAGGAAAAATGTAGCCCAAGGCAATGCTGATGTGTGTGCTGCTAAAACAATACCATGATTGGCTTGACGGGATAAAATAATGTGTTGGAAGAGATTCGATGGCTTTCCCATGGATGGACAAAGACCAAGGGAACCTCGTGATAGTTTGCATGAATGTAACTAATGGGGCTTGATGAGTTTGTCTGGTATAAACTGAAAGTGTTAATGTTCTCCTGATGAGATTGCTAAATGTAAACTAAAGGTGTGTTTCTCTGCTGACCCTTAAATACAGGATATGAGAGGCTATCCAGCCAGATGAATAGCCTATTAATTAGGGTAAGTAGGCAAGGGAAGTGTGACCAGGTGTGATGTGGTTACGCAAGGGAAGGGTATTGTTTCCTGAGAATCCAATTGATGAGATTAAGTATCTCTTTTTAGGGGTGGGGAGAGATCTGCTAACAACCCAGAGTCACCTTCCCAAAATAGTTTCCCGGGCTTGTCTCTAACCAGCATCCATTTTGCTTGTTCCAGGTCCATCTTGGTCCCCCAAGTCTAAGCCAGGCTGTACAGCACACACATTATTTTGTGGGCAATATTAAAAGAAAGAGAGGTGACTTGAATAAGACTGCCCTTCTACAGGAGGGATCTGGTGGCTAACAATCAAGGAAGTCCAGGCTTGCTCTGCAGAGGCAGGCAACGGCAAGCCACCTGTTTATTTCTTGCCCCGAAAACCTTACTGAGTCACCTTGAGTCAGCGGCAACTTGATGGTGCTTTGCACAAGACGTTCTCTCTAGTTGCCAGACTAGTCTGCCAGACGAAGGTGGTGGAGAGCAGCATGGTGTAGTGGTTAAGAGCGGCAGACTCTAATCTGGTGAACTGGGTTTGATTCCCCACTCCTCCACATGAAGCGTGACCTTGGGCCAGTCACAGTTCTCTCAGAACTCTCTCACCCCCACCTACCCCACAGGGTGACTGCTGTGCTGTGGGGAGAGGAAGGGAAGGCGAGTGTATGTTGCTTTGGGACTCCTTGAGAGAGCCAGTTTGGTGTAGTGGTTAGGAGCCCGGACTCTAACCTGGGAGAACTGGGTTTGAGTCCCCACTTCTCCACATGCAGATGCTGGTGTGACCTTGGGTCAGTCACAGTTCTCTCAGAGCTGTTCTCTCACAAGCAGTTCTCTCACGAGCTCTCTCAGCCCCACCCACCTCACAGGGTGTCTGTTGTGGGGAGGGGAAGGGAAAGGAGATTGTAAGCCGCTCTGAGACTCCTTCAGGTAGTGGAGGGCACGGCATAAATCCAATCTCCTCTTCTAAGATAGAGGAAAATGGCATAAAAACCAACTCTCTTCTTCTTCTAGTGAGGACAACCTGATCTCATCAATAAAGACTGCTCTAAACAAGGCAGCAGACCTAGCCAGTCTTTTAGGGCAAGGGGAATGGGAAGAATTTAAACCTGTCTCACTCTTCAGAGGAGACTGTGCCTTTGTATGAAGTCCTAGGCCTCAGCTGTTTGCATAGGAAATGTCACATGATCTTTTCACCAATGGGGGGTCCACTAAGGCTCTCCTTCGGGCCAGTCCGCTTCTCTCTCTACACCCCAGCGGGAAGTTATTGACTACAGAGCATGCTTTAGAATGATTGAACAAGAGACCTTCTTTACAACCCCATTCTTCCTATGTATAACAGGCCGAACAGGGATGAACCTTCCACTGACATTTAAATGGTAGTTCGATTGACTTCTGGAGGCCAGGGAAGGCTTCTCTCTGCATTTGAAACACTGGTCTAAAAGTGCTATTTTTTGTTTGTGTGTGTGTGAAAATTTCAGCACGGCAGCGCCCTCAAGGAGTGACAGTATACCAGAAAAGAGAGGCTTTGTTTTAGTAGTCTGGCACTTTGGCTGTGAGTCATGAGTCAGGCAACTTCTTGAAACAGAGCGCGTGCATTAATTAAAACTGCGGGTGGAAGAAGAGGAAGGCCCTTTTCTCCCATTCGCGCTCCCAAAACAAGGGCAGGACTCATTCCCGGGGTATCCCCTGACCACATTACGGATGCTTTCCGAATCAGCAAGCAATCCACAGCATAACACCTGCAGAAGCTCCCCCATCCCACATTCAGATGGACGAGGAACGGGGGCGGGGGGCGGGAATAGATTTAAAAATCTTAATCTTGCCAGTTTTCCTAAATGTCAGAGTAAATTGTTGAAAAGATTCACATTTATTTAAAAACCTTGCATCCCATCTTCTCAGCTGCACTCCAGAGAACAAACTGCGAGAGGAGGACAATATTCTGCAAACATCAGGTTGGAATAACATCCTTTTATAGAGGCTCAGTGTGTGGAAACGGGCAGGTGAGGCTCTTTGTGGCACGCATCCCATTGAACCTCTATTAAGGGGACAGAACATTTTTTTCCTGCCGGTTATTTTGGCAACCCTATACTAAAGGTAAAGGTTCCCAGTCAAGTCCGACTCTAGGGTTGCTCATCTCCATTTCCAAGCCGAAGAGCCAGCGCTGTCCGAAGACGTTTCCGTGGTCATGTGGCTGGCATGACTAAACACCAAGGCACACGGAACGCTGTTTCCTTCCCACCGAAGTGGTCCCTGTCTATTTACTTGCAATTTCTTGATTTCGAACTGCTAGGTTGGCAGGAGCTGGAACCAGAGACGGGAGCTCACTCATGCGGCACCCGGGTCTCAACTCCTGAAATACTGACCTTCCACAGCCTGCAGTTCAGCGTCTTAACCACTTGAGCCACCGCAGCTCCTAACCCTCTACTAGCATCCACTAAAAAGAGGCAACTTTGGCACACTTCAAGAGAAACCCACAACTTAACTAAGGAAGGATTCGACACTTTGTGACAGTATACCTCTGTCGGCGAAAAGACCTGTACGTGCTGATCCAGATCAAAACAGGTACGAAAGAAGACTCTCAGAAACCACATGACCCGGCCAAAATAAGAGTACAATGACCCAGGACGTGCTTTGCTGTTATCAGTGCCGAATTTGTACCCTACAGCCACGTACTTGGTACTCTGTCTACAGGTATACCACACACAGCGCCATACGACAATTAATTACGTAATTATCCCTTGGAAAACGTATCTGCTGAGTCATGTTCTCCCTTTGCTGCCCTGCCCGTTTCTCTTGACTTGCGCACCTCTAAAAAGTAGACCGCGAGGCCCAGAACATTTTCCACTGGGATTTCCAAATGTCACTTTTCAAGCAACCGAATTTCAAGCAACTGAAAAAATTAGTTACAGTACAGTTCAGATTCCAATGGTTAATATGTGAAGGCCCATCTTTACTGGTCACACGTTTAAATTATGTTGAACTGAGCTAAATGGGACGTATTTTAAACTAAGTGTATCTAGAATCACAGCCTCACGCATGGATTCGACGCCCCTCTTGTCTAGGTTTATAAACTGCAAGCCATTCCGACAGTGGAAGCCACAGATCGAAATTAATTATGACAACATATCACCAATATTTAAATAATTTTAATCAAATATTACCAGGGAAAGGTATACAACCCCCCCCACAAAACCCTATGCCATGGGGTCAGCGAGGACTCAGACCGAATGAGCAGGGGTCCCGCAATGTTTGTGCCACAACTCAATGGCTTTGCTCACAATTGCATCAGTATTATCTTGAGGTACCTACAAAAGACAAAGACAGGCATTTTGTTGCTTCAAGGTAATAATTTCTTGCCCTAACCAGTGGGACAGGGGTTCTGTGGCATACCACAGGCATTGCCAGTACAGAACCTTTATGAGGCATTTGGTATAGACCAGGGCAATGTTCCCTCTAAGCTATGGAGTCTTGTGAGCAAAAATTCTACTTTGTGAGCTGCCGGCATTAAAGTTGTGAGCCAGCGATTTGGCTACTGCATAAGTTAGTTTGCTCTGGAGCTATCCTTCCTGAGCGAAGACAAAAATGTGTGAGCCGGAGGCTAAAAAACAGTGAGCTAGCTCACACTAACTCAGTTTAGAGGGAACACTGGACGAGGGGTGGCCAAACTTGTTTCACGTAGCAGCCACACAGAATAAAACGTCAGATGTTTGAGAGCCGCGAGACATGAACGAATATCACACACACGTTTTTATTGGGAAATATGCAAATTTGCTTTTTATTAACATTAAATCAGACTGCGTGAAAAAGCCGCATGTGGATCCCGAACTGCACTTTGGCCACCCCTGGTATAGACACTAAACAATCTAAAACACTACATAACCAATCAGAAAGCACAATAATATAGGATCATAAGCTGTAATAGAATACAGATAAAATTATTCATGATCACTCACAACCAGTCCATGGATCCTCATAATGGCTAAGAGATACCTAGCAACTTGATGGGTAATATAAGGATTCCAGTCAGATAAAAAAAATATAAGAGCAGTCACTCATCTGATACTTATGTGGGAGGGGGCTCATTATGGAACTCAGTATAAAAGCTACAACATACCCATAGGAATAAACAGCTTTAAAAGGGGATTAGATGGATTCATGGAGAATGAGTCTATCAACGGCTACTGGCCATGGTGACTGAGGGGAACCTCCACATTCAGAAGCACTAAGCCTCTGAATCCCAGAACCCGGTAGCAACATCAGGGGAAGGCCCCAGCCTCTATGCCCTGTTGTTGGCCGCTGTGTGAGACAGGATGCTGGACTAGATGGTGAGACTGGATGCTGGACTAGATTGGTCTGATCCAGCACAGCTCTTCTTATGTTCTTAGAGCAAGACATGAGATACGAATTCAGGAATCTGGCCCTACATGGACAATATCTCTCCTGATGAGTTCTCAAAACTCTGCCACGAAGGATTGCTGACGGCAGAACGTTAATCCTGGCGAGCATAAAAGCTCTGCGGACTTGAGGAGACTTAATACGGAATAAGTGGGGAGCAGGAGCCCCATAAACTCCCAGTATACCCTTTGCCGTAGGGGAACATGCTCTGTTTGCGAGAGAGTGCAAAACTTGTTTCCGGATCTCCAGCAATCTTTGGCGCAGCAATCTAAAGGCCTGTTGCTTCCCTACCATAAGGAGCAAATCAAGTGGAATGCCAACTGAATTAATTTTCTGCAGAACTACGCACGACCATTTAAGTAAGAGTGTGATAACATGGTATGCACATAACTAGGCAATGTGCATCCCAATTGCTTCTGTTGTTGTTCAGTCGCGCAGTCGAGTCCAACTCTTTGCGACCCCATGGACCACATCACGCCAGGCCCTCCTGTCTTCTGCCGTCCTCTGGAGTTTGCTCAGCTTCATGTTCATTGCATCAATGACAGTGTCTAACCATCTCATCCTTTGCCGTCCCCGTCTTCTTTGACCTTCAATCTTTCCCAGCATCAGGGTCTTCTCCAGTGAGGGCTCCCTTCTCATTAGGTGGCCAAAGTATTTGAGCTTCAGCTTCAGTATCTGGCCTTCCAGGGAACAGTCAGGGTTGATTTCTTTTAAGATTGACTGATTTGATCTCCCATTTGGTTCTAGTGCAGCGGAAATGTATTTATTTATTTGGTTCAATTTCTATCCCGCCCTTCCAACGAATGGGCTCAGGGCGGGTGACAACACGGGTTACGGAACGATAAAAGCAGACTTTAAAACTATAAAATCTTAACATCGTAAAACGATGTGTGTTCAAAGTACATCAAGCTATTTCCATAGCATCCCGGTATTATTCAGCTAAAAGCAGAGAGAGCTAAATCCCATAAGGGATTCCAGACGGAAGGTACCCTATCCTCGACAAACCAAGGCGGGGCTGTTGTTCGGAGTCCTCGAAAATTGAAGACCTACTTATAATAAATGATCAGATGGTAACAGGATGGTAAAAGAAGGGGCCAGATGGTATTTGACGTTTGCTGCCTCACCAAGCCTGGTGGAATAGCTCCCTCTTACAGGCCCTTCCTATAAGGAAGGCCGAGTGCCGAAGAATAGATTCTTTTGAACGATGGTGCTGGAGAAGACTCTTGAGAGTCCCTTGGACTGCAAGAAGATCAAATCAGTCAATCCTAAAAGAAACCAACCCTGACTGTTCCCTGGAAGGCCAGATAATGAAACTGAAGCTCAAATACTTTGGCCACCCAATGAGAAGGGAGCACTCACTGGAGAAGACCCTGATGCTGGGAAAGATTGAAGGTCGAAGAAGACGGGGACGGCAAAGGATGAGATGGTTAGACAGTGTCATAGATGCAACGAACATGAAATTGAGCCAACATCAGAGGACGGTGGAAGACAGGAAGGCCTGGCGTGATCTGGTCCATGGGGTCGCAAAGAGTCGGACTCGACTGTGCGACTGAACAACAACACAGGCCCTGCGGAACTGTAAAAAAAAAACCCACATGCAACAGCACAAGCTTCCAGAGTTCCCACCAAAGAAAAGGAAGCCTGCCTACAAAGAAACGGGGTGGCTCAGTGGTAGAGCATCTGCTTGGCATGCTGAAGGTCCCAGGTTCAATCCCTGGCTTCTCCAGCTAAAAAGGATCAGGCGGTAGGTGACAAGAAAGACCTCTGCCTGCGATGCTGGAGAGCGACTGCCAGTCTGAGTAGGCAGTACTGACCTTAATGGACCAGGGGTCTGATTCAGTGGAAGGCAACTTCATGTGTGTTCAAATTCTTTACGGGAACGGGAAGACACCAAACGATCTAGGCTTGGCCGTGGTTATTATGCAGTCATTCCCGAAAGCTGTGCATTACTGCAGATCCCACTCATTCCAATGTGAATTTCAGGTGCAGCTCATATGCAACATACTGAACACGGGGGTGGGGGGGGGGGTTTTTGCGTCTCCTTAGCTGTTGTAGTTTTTCCGGGTTGTGTGGCTGTGGTCTTGGCATTGTAGGTCCTGACATTTCGCCAGTAGCTGTGACTGGCATCCTCAGAGTTATAACACAGAAAGATGCAGTACTCTCTGTGTCAAGGTCTCCGTCCAGACATCACACTGAACTATGGTTAAGGGAACTAACTATGGTTAAGGGATCTAAGCTGCAAGTTTGGTGTGATGTCTGACAGCCAAACTATGTGAGCCTTTTTATTAAAAAAAAAAACTGAATTGGCTCCAGGTTCCCTGCTTTTTACATCCACACAGCAGCTGCAGGGAATGTCATAAAAGCCTACAGGAGCCTGCTTTGGCTTGGGACTGCACTGCAAGGGGGCAATTCAGAATATTCCTCCATGTAAAAAAAACTCACTGCAAGTAATAGAAAACCTTACACATCTGGGAGAAAGCATGCTTGGCTACAATCTCCTGGCTATGCTCAGTTTTTTGTTCAGGGGACTATTTTAAAAGGTCACTTATATGTAAGGTAAAGGTTTCCCTTGCTCGAAAGCCAGTCGAATCCGACTCTAGGGTTGTGGTGCTCATCTCCATTTCCAAGCTGAAGAGCCAGCGCTGTCCGAAGACGTTTCCATGGTCATGTGGCCGGCATGACTAAACACAGAGGTGCACGGAACTCTGTTACCTTCCCACCGAAGTGGTACCTATTTATCTACTTGCAATTTCTTGATTTCGAACTGCTAGGTTGGCAGGAGCTGGAACCAGAGACGGGAGCTCATTCCGCCATGTGGCACTCGGGTCTCGAACTGCTGAACTACCGACCTTCCAACCTGTAGTTCAGTGTCTTAACCACTGAGCCACCGCAGCTTATGTGCATCTTAAATGTAGGTCCCTTCTATTGTCTCACAATTCTACTGCCTCGTTCTGCTGCCCAAGCCAAGCTGCTAAACAGTCTGAAAGCTTTTTACACGCTGAAATGGGGTAAAGCACAGCTAGCTTTCTCTTGCCAGCAAAAATCTCCAAAAATCTGACAAAGAAATATAATCTCCTGGGTTTTGTTCAGTCTGCATTAGAAAAAGCGTACTTACGTTTTCCAAAAACTGGGCGATCTTCTCAGCACTATTCAGTACCATCAACTTCATTTTGAAAGTCAGCAAAATCTCAACAGCGACAAAGACGAGGATTTTGCAGGAACCACTGATAACTTTGTCCCAAACCCTAGAGAAGTCAGCCAGAGAGTTAAAACTGGAAATCCTTACATATATGATTTATATTCAGTGATGTAGTTTTCAGGACCAGAATGGCATCTCAAAGTGTACTGAACTTCTGACATAGTCTGAATAACTGGCACGTTTGTTTCGCTGGTATTCAACACATTCTATTGTACCCTTATTGAGTTCAGTGGAAGAGACAGGCACCTGAATTCCCTTAAAAATGCTGCTGTTTGAGAAAGATCAGGACTTTGTAGCGCAGAGTCCCCAACCTTCTAGAGCCTCCGGGCACATCTGGAATTCTGACACAGCATGTTATTGAGTTCAGAGGAAGAGACAGGCACCTGAATGGCTGCCACAGCTTAACGTCAGTAACACACTGCAGTTCTGTGTGTTGTGGTGACAGCTGATGTCAGAGTAACATTTTAAAAAATCTGCATAGCCAATCAAATCTCCTATAGTCAATCAGACGCTGTGCCAGACAAAAGCCCTACCTGGCCCCACTAGCTTCCTAAAAACATTTGGTGGGCACCAGAAAAGGTGTTGGCAGGCCCCGTGGCACCCACGGGCACCACGTTCGGGACCCCCTTGTAGCTGCTTGGACTGACCTCCCCAGTTTTATAGTTCAGGATGCACGTGTGTGCATGTGTGTTTCCTTGAAAAGGCAACCTACTTTCTGTATCAAAAAAGACAAATTCTACCATCTACGTAAGTTCTAAGTATTTAATTTGTATAACTTTTCTGGTTCTGCTGGACGTGAGACAAGCAAGGAACTATGAAGGACTCTGAAGCCTCAGACTCGGAACAACAGGAACCGTATTAAGAATCTCAGCTTTCACCAAGTCCCTTTCAAGACTACCGTGGCAACCGTAAAGTCAAAAACTTGATTTAAAAAAAACAAAAACAGTGAAGATTCTTAGGGTAACTGAGTTTCACACCCACTATCAGATTCTGGAATCTGGAAATGAACTTTAAAAACCTTCTTAGAACAAGATCAGCTAAGGCATGTATAAGGCTAAGGGACAGAGGATCACACATTTACATCTTTCCCTTGTACTCCTTGCTCAGTCCACTGCTGTGCTACGAGTATGTGTGTAGACTTTTTACTTCTAATAAATTATTTACTATTCCAAATGCTGGTGGTTGTTCACTTTACCACTTAGACCTCTACTATTCAAACTCACTACTTAAAATGGGGGACAGGGACAGGGAGGCAGTCAGTTGCTAAATCACTATTTCCACAGGAGTGCAAAGGTATGGCAAGCAGTCCCTATAGTGACCAGACCATGGGTAGCAGGAGACAAATAAACACCAGATGTTTGAAAGCTCCAAAACATGAACAAATATTACACACACATTTTTATTGGGAAATATGCAAATTTGCTTTTTATTCACATTAAATTAGATTGTGTGAACGAGCCGCATGTGGCTCCCAAGCTGCAGTTTAGCTACCCCTGCACTAGGCAGAGTCTTAGAATAACACGGAAGGGAAGCTGGGAATACCAGCTTGGTGGGTAATTCCTAAACTGACCAGTTAGTGGCATCATACCAAATAAGAAGCAAGAGAGAAGCCCTCCAAGGTTTCCATAAGCTGGGAGAGTGGTATGTCACTGGACGGAGACTCAGGACGGTCACCCAAGCACCTAGTCACCTTGGACAGCCCAATGGAGCAGCACTTGTGGGCCAGTGGGGTTGTTTCGCTACAAAAAGTTACTTGCCTTTGTAGGCTCGATTCAGGTAGACACCCAGCAAAACACTTCCTAAACCAGAGGTTGTAAGGAAGTCGGCTCACTGCTGAACACGATTTCAAATGCGTTAGGAGTCTGCTGTCTTCAAGGCTCAAAGTTTGTTCCAGATATTTTGGCTGCAGGAGAAACAGGAAGAGAAGTGACAAAACAGACCAAATAATAATCGTACAGTCGGGGTTTCATAGCGAGAAAACAAAACTTCATCATAAGAAGAGATTCAGTCTGACACATGCGGAAAATATGTCATGTTAGATAACGTGGTTAAAAGGTTAAATTGTACTGTAAGGGCTGCTAGAAATTTCAGTGTTTATTGGCTGTGCTAATAAAAAACACTGTGAAAGGACAAAACAAACAAACCAAATTATGATTCAGTGGGAGCTCAGCATTCATTCAACTCAGTATGAGCTGCTTTTCAGAGCCAGAGGTTTGCCAGACCCCCTGTCTGGGCGGGAATTCCCTCAATTTTCAGGGCTACAATCCGCCCCTGGCCAGCTGGCCAGTGGGGGAAGCCCCACCCCTGAACTGGGACGTCACCGGGCAACGTCCCTGACGTGATGACATCACCCAGAAGTGACGTCATCACATTGCCGATGTTGGGGGGTGATGCTCTAGTTTTTGGGCAAACTCTATAGTTTTGAAGGCAAAAAACCCCATAGAGTTCTGCCCAAAAACTAGAGCGTCACCCGCCGACATCGGCAATGCGATGACGTCACTTCTGGGTGATGTCATAACGCCACCCGTGCAGCAGAAGATACCAGGCACAACCCAGGAGCCGCCCATCAGATCGCAGGTAGGTCCCCCCAATGTTCCCTCTAAGCTGTGGAGTCTTGTGAGCAAAAATTCTACTTTGTGAGCTACTGGCATTAAAGTTGTGAGTGAGCGATTTGGCTACTGCATCAATTAGTTTGCTCCGGAGCCGTCCTTCCTGAGCTGAGACAAAAATGTGTGAGCCGGAGGTTCAAAAACTGTGAGCTAGCTCACACTAACTCAGCTTAGAGGGAACACTGGTCCCGGCAACCCTACAGAGTCATCTTACTGTAAACGGGTCTTTCACCCACACACTTGGCACGTAGGCTAGAGAGCGCACTGAAACAGCAGGCTTTGGCCATGAGATGCCTGACATTACAAGCACGAGACTCAATTGACACATACAGCAGAACAAAATGGTAGAATCCTGATTTCAGAGTGAGGGTTCCAGGTGAGAGGACACATGATGGACAACATTCTGAACAGCCCTCCATGTTTTTTAAAAACCCTCCCTACAAGTAATAACTGACACAAGAAAGCTCTAGTTTATCCCAATTTCCACTGTGACTATTTTGTTTGCACTTTGCTGGTACGTTTTAGCATGGAAACATTGAAAAATATGTGATTTATTCTACCACTTTTATGTAGAGCAGATGCTAAGGGACATTTCAGGAGACATGAGGGCGCAAACTGAGGACCTCAGTTTTAAAACCCCAGAGAGCCAGTTTGGGGTAGTGGTTAAGTGCGCGGACTCTAATCTGGGAGAACCGGGTTTGATTCCCCACTCCTCCGCCACTTGCTGGATGACCTTGGGCAAGCCATGGTTCTGATAAGAGCTGTTCTTGAAAAAGAGCAGTTTCTGTCAAGAGCTCTCTCAGCCCCGCCTACCTCACAGGGTGTCTGTCGTGGGGAGGGGGAGGGGAAGGAGTTTGTAAGCTGCTCTGAGATTCCAAGGTGAAGAGCAGGGTATAAATCCAATCTCTTCTCCTCATCTTCTTCTTCTTCAAACACAGGCATCTCGAGGGGCCCTGCTTCTAAAGGGGGCCCATCATCTCAGCTGTGGGCTGTGGCACCAAATGGTGAAATTCCTTCCCCAAGGAGATTCATCTATTCCCCTCTACAATTGTTTTCTTCCAGCAAGTGAAGATTTTTCTGTTTTGGCTGGCATTCCCTTACTAAGCCTACTTCCTGTTTATGTTTTTAATCATATGCTTTTCTACAGTTTTTAAAGTTAATTTTTTAATCTATTTAACTGTTTACTGCCTTCGGGGCCCTGTCTGAGTGGAAATGTAGGACAAAAATCTTTTAACTATACAAATAAAATACACAGCTGAAAAATAATTTATTCCTCATACCCAAAAGGCAAAAAGAAAAGCTGCCATAGTGCTGCACGGCATTTCCCCTGCCAAGAGCATATGTGCAATTCTCAAACCCACAATGCGTATCCGTAGAATAGCTTTGCATAAGCACAACGGAATCTGCACACCCATCATCTTATTAACCCTCTTCTCACCTAGGGGGGAAAATACATTCTTACCAGTTGGGGTAAAGTGTCCTTGTATTTATTGTTGAATAGGTTCACAAAGCTACTGACGAGCCAATAGCCGTCGACGCTGTCTTCAACCATTTCCTCCATAGCCTTTGCAATAGCAAGAAATACTTCATCTTCAGGTTCCTGGAAACGCAAAACAGACTTCATCATACTCCAGGCACATTAAGAAAAAACTAATCAATGTTCTGTTAATAGCTGCTAAAGTATTGTTAGCAAGTAAATGGAAAGCAGATTCCATTCCAACTATGCAACAATGGTTGCACAAAGTCTGGGATTTTTTCCTACAAGAGAAAATCTCATCCTGGACAAATACTACACATGTTGAGTATCACCAGCTTAGCCCCATGGATAAATGGTACCCTGTATTAGAGAAAATGAACATAGACAAATTCGACTGGGAACAAATAAGAAAACCAAAATATGAAGGGCTACTGTTTGGTTGATGGTGCAATATATTGACAACAGGGGGTGATAAGTGGCTGCATCCACTGAACCAATTAAGAGTATTTCCACATCAATTGAGGCTGTCACATTTGCTTCAAGGCTGAACGCTCCTGCTCATCCACAAGTTCATCACTTATATCAAGGAAACTCCCCAGATATCGTGAATGTGTCCCCCTTCCTGATTTTATTTTTTGCTGCTGTTTCAGCTTATAGCTACTGACTGTTTTCTAAATTTTAAATTTTAATAAAAAAGACTTTTTGCTCACAAGACTCCACAGCTTAGAGGGAACATTGGAGCCAACCCCCATATTTAAAAGCCGGACATTTTCCAGCCTTCAGGTTTTTTTGTTTTAACAACCATACCTCCTAACTGTTGCTACCACAACTGACTAAACTCTTCACAGTTGCTTGCCATGTTTTTAAAAACTATATTGCCATGTATAAAATAAATGTGAGGTAACTCTTGCCGTCATCACTACAAAAAGCTAGCCTCAGTCCCTCACCTAAATAAGCCTTGTACGTCTACTCTGGTCACATCCTGAGAAGACAAGAGTCACTGGAAAAGACAACGATGCTAGGAAAAGTTGAAGGCAGCAGGAAAAGAGGAAGACCCAACATGAGGTGGACGGACTCGCTCAAGGAAGCCGCGGACCTCGGCTTGCAAGGCCTGAGCAAGGCTGTTAAGGA